AACTCACTATCAGCTAAGTCGGACTGTGGGACGACTCAAAGATCACACCACACCTAAATTCTGCATTATGACCCTGTGGCACATGAACATCCAAGCTCGGGCAGCATTTCACTTTAAAGTCATGGGGTCTCGCCGTCTTGAGAATCTTGGAGGTCTCGATATATTCTGGGATTTCTTTTTGAAGCGATATCTGGCCCCGGTTCAGCACTAGGGAGCCATACGCCCACGAGTGTGCTGGCTAATATCGGTAAGCAATAGTCGAGACACCTGAACATACACTACCAGTCTCCATTCCTCTTCGAGAAGCGCGCAATTGTGAAATACTTCTATATGCAGCCTCGAGATCACTTGTTCTCGTTTGGTTCATTCTTCCACTTGGCCTGTTCTGACCCCGGTGAGCGGGATTGTGAGGGCAAGGTCCGTCTTTGACTGGAAGATCTTCTCACTGAGGTAGGCAGTACGAGCTCGAGATGGCAGCTTCACACCGGCAGGGCCGGGAGCAGGAGCATGATCGCCACTATCCGCCGTCTATGCTAGTCGATGGTGATCTGCAGAGTATTGCCCTGACGGGAGCGGACCTGGAGCCAATCTGATCGTAGCCGAGGATTACTCCATGCTCGGCGCATGGGGGGCATCACGTCGCAAGCAAAAGTGTCACACGCGGCATTGAGATTTTCGTTTCAGATGCAAAGAAGCGTCGGCGCGATGATGGCCAGAAAAGGGAGCACCAACACCAGCCGAGGCCTAGAAATCACGTACAGTGATGCTGACTACAAGTAGTGGACGAGGAACTCGGTAGAAATGGTGGCCGTTATTTCTGAGTCCCCAGATCATCTCCTGCACATCGCAGCGGGTTTGAGATGACTCGATGAGTGTTCAGTAGGTGTGGGGTTGGAAGCCGAAGACGCAATGACCGCGGGGCAGAAAAGGCTGAACTGGACGACAACTTAGGCCTTGACGCCGTAGATAATAATGCTATGGTGAGGGATGCCTCACGAAGGGGTCACCCAGGGTGTCTGTCTCCCGCATGCCAGCATCTGGAGGTTGTATGTAGGAGAGGAAAGGCAGATCGTCTGGCAAGTACGAGCGAGGAGGGACCAGACATCAGAGTATGGAGTCTAGAGAAACTACCTACCCAGTAGTGATTCTCGCCGGTCTCGCCGACTCGGAGCGTCAACCAAGTCCCGACTCGGCCACAGTTCATTATGCCAAGCTCGGCTTGCAAAATGCCCGTCCACTGCCTTTTCATGACCTCTGCTTCATAGTCACCTTAATAAATATGATAACGCGATCCAATGCGAGGCCGGAAGACAAATGTCCACACTACTCGACGTCCAAAAGGACCTTTTAGTCGATATTCAAACATCCCTGCGTCCTTTTATTGTCCTCCCGGGCCTATGATCGAATAATCTGCCGTCTCTTGGCCTGTCGTCCGCTCTGTTGCTCTTTTGCCCGAGTACATGCCAAAAGAGTGCTTCTTCAAACTTGACTCTTCGGAATCGTCGCCTTCGCCTTCGCCTTCACCCTCATCCGCCTCCCTTGATCCTCCCCAACCTCCATTTGGCGATGATCTGTTACAGCCAGTATGAACGGTATCACCGAGCCCTTACCCGGCCTCCTTGATGATCCTCTATTCCAGCTCCCCGATCTGCCCGCTCTGACCGACATTCAAATCGCTCCTCTCCGCAACCCTGCCCCAAGCCGTCACGCAAATGTTCCTCTGCCTCTCGAGCCCGTGGCCGACAATAGTCTGAACAATGGACGAACAAACAAAAGCTCCGCACATCCTGCAGATAGTCCTGAGACGAGGAGGACGCCAAAAATCACACCCAATGATGTGCTCCAAGCACGAGAGGCTAAAAGGCCGCACTTGGCTATCAGTGAACTGCTGGAAGCCGACCATGGCCCGGACTTCGCCCCAACTTATCTTCCATCGTTCATCAGTTTGTCTGTGGTGGAAAAATCGCCTGTCCAGGCTCCCTCGTTTGTCGAGCCTCCTTACTCTCTGAGGCGCTTAAGATTAGACACAGACAACGATCATGGAACTCTTGACTGGACCAGGCATCTTCCTCCCCCTGCTCAGAAAGAAGACCGGCAGAGTAGGCCCGCTCCGCTCCTCCCCGCTATGGTTACAGGACTGCATGAACCTCCTCCTTCGGCAGCTCTGCTGCCATCAATCGACCTTGACTCGATACATGCTGTGGTTACAGGGCAGCATGAACAGCCCCCTTCTGCACCTCTCCTACGGTCAACTGACTTTGACCCGATACATTCCACGGCTACAGGACTTCATGAAGTTCCTCCGCATTCTGCGGCTCCACTACCACCAACTGACACCGAATTGATACATGCCACAGGACTGCATGAGCCGTCTCTTTCTGCAGCTCTGCTGACATCAATTGACCCTGACTCGACATATACCGCAGTTACAGGACCGCATGAACCCCCTCACTCTGCGGCTCTGCTACCGTCAATTGACTCAGATTCGACACATGGCACGATTACAGGACTGAACGAACCTCCTGCTACTGCCGTTCTGCTACCGTCAATTGACCTGGACTCGATTCCAGCCATTGTTCGGCAAACAACAACTTCAAGGATCCACGTCAGAGACATGCTCACTGAGTCCAATCAGCCAGATCCTGCGCCTCCGGCAGCCCCTTCGCCCCCAGCAGCCTCATCTGGCCCTCTTGTTGATAGGCTGGCCATACACAACCACGAGGACACGGGTAATTATTCAACGCCACCAGAGGAGGTCCGTGATCACGTCCCTCGAGCAATCCCTCCTGTTCGTTCTCCTTGGAAGGCGGGCCCCATGAGGGGGCCCAATAACCGTCGGCCTAGGCGGAAGTGGACTGGCACTGAAACAGCAGACCTCATGGCTGGCGTGAGCAAGTACGGCATTGGGAGGTGGAAACAGATCGTGGATGATCCATCCTTCAACTTCGGCGATCGAAGTGCTGTCGACTTGAAAGACCGGTATCGCGTCTGTGTGAACGAAAAGCCCTCAGCAAAGGCAGACAGTAATCTGAGGGCCGACAGTCCTATGGCGGAGGCATCCCCTTCCATTGAAATATTAGGAATAAGGCAGTGCCGAGAAAGAGGTGCCGCAATGAACTCAACACCAAAACGTCGTAAACGCCGTGCTTGGACTGAGGAAGAGGACAACAATCTCCTGGTAGGTGTCGCCAGACACGGATTTCAGTGGACTGCCATTCATGATGACCCCGACCTCAATCTGTCGCATAGACGGGCAACAGATCTCCGCGATCGTATTCGAAATAGGTTTCCAGATGGGTACAAGCACGCCGAGTTTGCGCCGTCGAAGCGTGAGGCTAGGAACGCCATAAAGGCGGAAAAAGAGGCCCTCGCCGATCAGCCGATACCATGGGATGTGGTTGTCCCTGGCAGGGAATACGAAGGGACGAGGATTGAGAGAGGACGGTGGGAGGAGGTCACACCAGCAGACGACAGCACGCCGACTTCAGCTGGACCAAACGATGCCAATACCTCAGTGACCAGGGTGACCGGCGATGTGGACAAAGAAAACGATACCAGGCAAGACGAAAACGACAAAGAAAGAGACCGGGATAGAGAAAAGGAGCAGCAGCAGCAGCAGCAGCAGCAGCAACAGCAGCAGCCCCTTATCACATTGCCGAGTTTCTCGCTCGGGTTCTTCGATGATATGGACTGGGAGGATAATACGCTGCCGCCGATGCATGACGGGGATGACTGCAGTGATTAGCTGGGGGGAAATGAGATGTGCATTGAAGAACTGAAAGAAAGGACATTTTACGTGGCATTCGAAAAGGGTGTTTAAGCAGATATTTAAAGGGCGCATAGCGCTCCACGGTGACGTGGCATTGGACGGACTGAACAGGGGAAGCCATAAAGGGCAGTACGGCGTGGCTCATACAGCGACGGGACCGGGCTCATTTTTGTCATTCTTTTCTCAACTTGTCTGGCTGGGTTGACACGGGACTCTGGACGAATGAGGCAGGACAACGGACTCGGGAAAAGGAAGTGGGCGAGGGAAGGAGGGAAATGCCCCGTTTTGCTATTTTGCGATTGTGATACCCATTGTTTTTCATGGCACTGTTGACTTTTGCCGGGCCTAGAATAGGGACTTGGAACTGGGACGGCGTCGTCTGGAAATACTCCGTACACACCTAGGTAATGATGTGCAGGACAGGAAGCTGTAGCGGTATGCCTACTGTTGTTAAAATAGCAGAGGTCGAGTCGCTGATTGTACGCATTTCTGGTTTGGTCACCAATACCACAATTGGCTCCTCGTCCTTCTTCCCTCCCTTCCTTCCTCCCTTTGCGGTTGCATTCACAGATCAATGTTGCTGCAAATCAAGTATTCCCTTCCACGCAGGTGGTCAACTGCTAGCTTGCTTTAGTCTTTGCCAATACGAGAGAAGAAGGCATTGGGAGTGAGAAGAGAGAAACCAGACGTTCAATGGCGGCGGCACCTGTCAATCAATATTACTTGCAAGGACACCAGGTGAAGGCTGGATGAATAATCAATCACTCTCTGTGTGCTTCGATTTCTCTCTTTTCTCAGCTATGCTCACTCTGCCTTTTTGTATTCGACGACTTTCCGGCACGCACATCATGACGATCCAAAAACCTCTCGAACATCCTTCCTCGGGCAGACACTCTCCAGAACGTCCCATGGGGATTGAGGCTTATGGAGATTGTCGCTTTTGGTGGGCGCAGAGGACGCTCAGAATTGTTCAATTCGTTGTATTCCAACCCCGTCTCCATGAAGCCTGCTGCGATAGAAACCATACGCGTGCCATCTTGAATACTCCATGAGCACCCCCGCACTTCCATGCACGTGCTGAAAGAAAAGGAACAAAGGCTGAACAAACAGTGTCGAATAATGCCGTAGGAGTTTGCTTGCAGAAAGCCTCGCGTCGAATTGTCGTTTTGCTCATCATCTCGTTGATCGTTCTGATCTCGTCATTTCTTTTGGGGTTTGGAAGTGCGGCTGTTCACCACGCATTGCGGTCCCAATTTGGATCTGTTTGTCTCCTGTCAGTCCGGGCTCGCTTCCTTCTACCAGGCATCCTCGCCTCACCTTGTATGAACGCTCCGAGGACCTTGCTCCCAGTTTGTAGGAGCGGGTGTCCAACCACAATCTGTAGGAATCTCTGAAGTCCTTCTCTCCTGTGCTCAATCACGTCGTCAGAGAATCTATTTGTGAATACTTTCCCAGGCAATGGAGGGATTGTGACTCTCGCGCTTTCTCGCTCCAGAATGTCTCGAAAGTACTCAAAGTCGGAGTATCTGCGGCGAACGACCGAGTGGCGCAGTTTAAAGGCCGGGATGTTGGTGCGGGTGTGGATTTCATAAGAAGTATACATGTTACGAGGAGAGGAGCCGTGGGTTTGTGGATTTTTCACCTACAGACAGATGTTAGTCTTGCTTTTCCAATGAAATGTGCCTGGCTCCGACAGAGAGGAGACAGGACGCTTTGCAATGGATGAGAAATCCCACAACGTACTTCAATCTCGAGGAAGTTCTCTGGAGGACCGTAGATCTCCTCGAACGTCTGTTGACGGGACTCTGGTAAGGCCTGCATCGCTGCGGGGTTCAAGATGGACGACACAGGCAGCTGAACAGAGCGATCGGTCGCGTGCACTTGAGACGCAAGATGGTGGTAATCCGTTGATATAGACTCCGAGTGCTTTGCAGGGCGCAGATGCGCGAGTGCCAGTCAGTCGAGCTGTGAGAATGACCAGGTGAAGCAGTCTTGGTTGATTAGGATGTCACTCTGATATCTTGGTGTCTTGTCGAGAAGATTCCTGCCAGAGCGGCTCGCCGCACCTGACTTTTGGCGCTTTCCCAATCTGGTCACCCCGCATCTTGTCTCGAGAGCCATGCCAAGAAATGAGTGGATCTCGAATTTCCACCGCAGGGAGCCAGTGATAATTTTTTTGGCACTCGAGTGAGTTCCAGTTCATTACAGAAGGCAGCAATGCAGCCACGGCCACGGTCACCCAACACTGACACAATGTCCAAAAAAAGAAAGAGAGAAGTCGACGTCGAGCTTGTCAAAGTCTACGAAGACTTGGGTGACGTCCAGGAGAACATTCGTCTTGCCGCTGCCCACACGCTGCTCTCCAAAATCTACAAGCCAGGCATCACGAGCCATGAACAGACCAAAACTATTCTGACGCGGCTCTTCCGTGGACTCTGCAGCAGTCGCAAATCGGCTCGGCTCGGCTTTTCTGTCGCCTTAACCGAACTTCTTTCACAACTTGCAGTTACCCCGGTTTCGTCCGCCGAAAGCGATGTTCCTGTCTCAAGTGTCATTGACATCCTTGAGGCCGAGACCTTGCCGGAGAGGGGCATATCTGGCCAAGACGAGCGAGATCATTATTTCGGGAGGGTGTTTGGTGCTGACGCCATCTTAAAGTCGGGAATCCTCTTCTGCAAGAAAGCAGATCAAAGTCATTTCACGCGCCTGCTAGACATTGTTTGTGCTTTAGCAGTCAAGAAACCATGGCTTCGTCAAGAATGCGGCTGGGTACTCTACAATTGCATTGCCTCCGACGAGAACGAGCTGCCGGAAAAGTTTGCACTGGAAATAAGTGAGGGCCTGGTTGCGAGCAGGCTCATACGTACGCCTGAAGGGGTGGCGATCTGGCTAGTGACGTCTAAGCGATTCCCGAATGCGAAACTGCCCAAGTCGGCTTGGAAGAGCGGTCATCCACTGGCAAAGAAAGATGTTAACATCCTTGCCGATATTCTCAAAGATGCGAGAGTCCAGCAAGCGGAAGGGGAATCCGACCTGAATGCTCAAGGTTCTGCCAGATGGTCTGCGAATCTGCATTTTGCCTGGGATATTGTACTTGCCGAAACTTTTCCGAACACGCCTGATGGATCTGGGGATTGGAAAGATGCGAAGAAAAGCGTCCGAAACGACACTAAACTCGCATTCGACCTGTTCTGGAAAGTCGTTGTGGATGAAAGCCTCTTCGCACCTGCTAGCAGTGCTGAGCGGAAATCCTGGGGGTTCAGCCTTTGGAAGAAGGTCTTCGAAACAGCTCCCCAACAGCTATTGATCTATACATTCACGCCGCAAGCGACTCGGTGCTTGGCCAACTCCCTTAAGAGCTCGGAGAGATTTCTACTGAGATCTGCCCAAAAACTGTCTCAGATCATTAATACCCGCTTGACGGAGACTGATCCCTGGAATCAGCGTGCTCATCTTGCGGGTACCTACGTTCGAGCGCTGTTACAGAGTGTCTCTTTCAGCGACTTTGATCAGGTCACTAAATCAAAAACTCTGCAGAGCTTGTTCGAAGCAGACAATTTGGATGTGCTTAAGGGCATCAAGTCTACCCTGACTAATCTTTTGCTCGGATCTCTTCAAGAAGAGGACAAGAAAGCGACTCTTTTGCAACAGAAAACGATTATAAATCTGGAGTGGAAGATGCTTTCAGCAAGGCTCCGTCGCTGGGAACACTTTCAAATGTCACACGAGCACGAGATTGAGAATGCAGATAAGGAACTCGTTTCCAGCATACTCAAGTCATGGCTCAGAGAAGTATGTATCTCGCCAACTGCGAAAATCCCGGAGAATCTCAACCGTGATATTCAGCCTGTACTGCTACCAAAGACTCGCGACTTTGCGAAAGAGCGTCTGAGTTTATCCTTTGAGCAAGCTCTCAAGCTCGGGTCTCTAGGCTGTTGGTTGTTGAAGGACGTTGTCCTTCATCTTCGCAAGTTAGAGGTCCTTCATGTCCGGATGGCCTCTGCCTTCGAGGACGATATCAACGGCATAGTGCAGACAGCCTGGCAAAATTTGACAGACTCTCAGATCAATACCCAGATGTCCTCGAAAGCCGACCGGGGTCCAGCGGTGTCCTCGAAAAAGCCTGTTCATGCAAAAGTTTTGTCGTCCTCAGAGGGACTGTGTTTGCTTTATGCACTATTACTTTTTCAAATCTACAGTGGGGAGACGGAGGCTGTAGAGATATTGCAGGAAGTGCTAGTCAACTGGGGTCGACGAAAGGATAACCAGAAAGGAAGTGTGACAACTAACAGTGGACAGGAGTCTGCAGATGCTATTATGGAGATTCTTCTCAGCTTTGTGTCAAGACCGTCGAAGTTCCTGAGGCGAATCACTGTCCAGATTTTCGATGCTTTTGCCCCCAATATCACTGCTACTGGTCTCGAGGCTATGTGTCGCATCCTCGAAACGAAAGAGAACCTTCGAGGCCAACAAGAGATGTTCGATGCGGGCGGATTCGAAAACGAGGATGAAGAGCACCTTGCTTCCGACTCGGAGATGGAAGGACTAGACTCAGAAGTCGAAGTCGATTCGGTTTCGGAGTCCGATGAATCATTGGACCAAGCAGACTCTAGCTCTGTATCGGCACATTCTAATGACAATTCAGAAGAAGATTCAGTTGACACATCTAGTAGTTCTGAGGCATCAGAGGGTGAGGATGAGGAGAATGAAGAGGACGAAGAGCTGGCTGCATTTGATGCAGCTCTTGCATCGGCTTTGGGGACTCGGCGACTCAACCAAGACGATCTCGCTGCCGCGTCAGAGACTGCTGATTCCTCTTCCGACGCAGATATGGGCGACGATGAAATGATGCAACTGGATTCAAAGCTTGCAGAAGTCTTCCGTGCGCGAAATGAACAGCAATCAAAGAACAAAAAGAAAGAGGCGAAGGAGGCGAAAGAGACCATCGTGAATTTCAAGAACCGCGTGCTCGACCTGATCGAGTCGTATTTGAAACACCAGCAACACAACTCGTTGACCATGGACTTGATTCTGCCTCTCCTCAAACTTGCAAGGACCACGCCAACAAAGCAGCTTGCCGATCGTTCCTGCAATATCCTACAACAATTTTGCTCGCGGTGCAAAGGACCCAATGTACCCGAGTTACCTAGTGACTCCTACAGTGGGCATGCTGTCGATATTCTCAAATCAATCCATGAGGAAGCGCGCATGGAGTCTTCGCACGCTCACTCAAATGTGGCAAGCCTATCGAGCATTCTTGTCGTGAAGGCCCTTGTCAAAACCAATCCAACGAATATCAGGACGATTGTTGAGACATACGCGTCAACAAGACTGAGGCAACTAACAGACAAGAAATGTCGAGTTCTACCGGGGTTTTTCACAGACTGGAACAATTGGTGCCAAAGTACCGCAGGCAAGCTAACGGGATAAATTGGAAGCCTCGAGCAATGAATACAGGGCGAGGAGGGGTTTCCAGCGAACGATCAATTCAATAAGCATCGCCTTGTCCAAAGCTAGCCTTCTTATACGTCTCTTAATGTCCGAGGTCCCCGCTTTCGAGAGCATCCCTGCAATACACTGCCTATTAAGGAGTACTCCGTGCACGGTACTGGCAAGACTAAAACACAGCCTGACAGGACACTACCGTATCGGAAGCTTCGGCTGCAACTTTCCTGTGTTTGTGAGCAAGCCAAATGCGATTGGCGGCCCCAAGCTCTGGAAGTCCAGTCGTGTATGATTAAATTGAAAAAATTGGCGTTGGCGGCGTGGCGCTTGATTGTCAGTCACCCAGACGATGATTAATACCATTGGCCGAAGTAGCGAGTGGATGAGTAAGGCTCTGGAGATTACAGCCTCGGGGTTGCTTACGTATTCTGGGGCTCGTATTGCGCCCTCGGTTTCTATCCCTTTTCCCGCACCTCTCTCTTTTTCTTTATAGGGCTGACTGAAGGAAGAATCTTAGCTTGAGGGTTCAACTACCGAGGTAAGTTCAGCTACTTGACAGACTGATCACTGTTGTGCGCGAGGGTTGGGGGCCTTTTAAAAGAAAATCTACCCAGTAATTCTACTGACCCACACGATCTCAGCCTTGTCCGATGTGTATCCCAATTCGGTATCTCATGGCCGCTTAGGCTATGGCTTATTGATGCACATGCATCTCCTCACTTGACAAGGGCCTTGCCTGCTACTCGTGTCGAAGTCCATTTGGTCTTCTTCAGCACCCTTTTCCTTGATGTTCAGCCGATACTTGCTTGAGCCTCTGCGCTTGAACGCGTCCTCTCTGTTTGAAACCTTTGTTGACTTGCGGCGTGTTTCCTTCCTGGAGACGAGGCACCGCGAAAGAACCCAAAGCAGCCGGGAATCATTGGACTCTATAGTTTCCAATGCTGTGGTGAATGTACCCTGTGTCAGCCGTTCCTTGTTAAGACTCTAGGTTTTCTATTGCTGCACTTGGGAACTGCCTACGGTCTCTTGCGGTCGACGCCATGGCAAGCTCAAAGAAACCGTCACTGCTGAAGCGGCTCAACGACAGGCTAGGGTTGAAAATCAATCTCCCAACCATATTATTGATGTTCAAGTATGTTATTGCAGAAGACGGATGCCAAAGCTGTGCTACGAGAACATGTGTCACACAGGACGGCAACCCGCCTGCAACCTCACCCAAACCTTTGGGTTCTATGCTAACAGAACGTGATCAGAGGAGCTGTCGCACCAACCGTTGGCCTTGCTATGTATGTTCGCTTTTAGAGGCAATTCAGTGGCAGAAGCTTACTACTACCAGATATCAAGATGCTAGTGTCGCAGCCCGCTACTCGACAATCGGCTATCTCATCCCTATCATGTCACTCTTCGTCGTTCCAATTCTGCCCCGTGCCAGATTCCTGCAGAATTTCCTCGTTACTTGTGTACGATTCTCTTGGATCTGCCTCGCAGGAGTTTGCTCGGCTAACTGGTTACTAGTTCCTGACTTGTCTTGCCGCCGCAATATCCCTTCTCTACATGTGGACCGCAATAAAAGCCCGACAAAACACGACTCATCTGTCAGCAGAGCAGCGGAGCAACGGACCAGTCCCGGGAGCCGAAGTTGTGCCCTACAATGCAGCTGCAAGCGCATGCCTGGCAGTGTGGTTCTTCTTTTGGCTCTGGGCATACAACACGTACGCCTTTCTTATAGCTTGATGTGGCCGTGCTGACGACCTAGTTAGGTTCCGCGCCTTTCGGCCGCAGTACTTCCTGCCTTTGATCGTGTTTGGTATATTTATCAACATCACGGCCGTATACGGCGCAATATTTCCAGAGATGGAACAAGTATATTCTCTAAGTAGGTTCTGGTGTCCTCTCAGGAAAAATTTTCACTGATTGTGTGTGATTTTAGTGAGACGACTCCTCGATACCTTCTTTGTCGGATTCGGGCTTGGCTTCGCTGTTCACTTTGTGGTGCTTCCTCTTACAACGCGAGATCTGGCAACATTGATCCTGAACGAGTATCTCCACATCCTCAAAAGCGTCATTGATGCTAAAGCAGCACTGCTGATCTCTTTACCCTCTCGTGACTGGAATACTGGGAGCAAAGCGAGCAGCCTGGAGAGCGACAGTGAAGGGGGCAACCCTAACGAGCGGCTGACCTCCTGGCCGGAGGCTGATAAATGGAGAGCGCTCGCTGCGGAAGCCACTGAATGCCAGGTCAAGATTCAATCAGAGATGCGTTACGTCAAACGTGAGGTCACTTTTGGAAAATTATCTGGCAAGGACTTTTCGAGTATCACAAAACTGCTGAGGAATATTTTGATACCCATTGCTGGCCTCGAGACGGTGATTCAAGTAAACGATCGAGTTGAAAAGCAGGGAGGGTGGACGTCTGCAAAGACCCACAAGGACGGTTCCGGCACCGCGATTTCGGATCGGGCATTGAATGACGTCGAGAAAGAGCGGTGGAGTTGGTTGTTTGGTCAGGTTGACGGAGCCTTCAAACTGCTGTGGCAGGCAATGATCGAAGGGCTCGACTATGCATTCTTCACCCTGCAAATCACCAAAAAGCCAGCATTCACGACCAAAGCCGAACTTGAAGCGAGAGCAGCCGGGTCTCATGATGGAAAAGGGTTTGCAAGATACCTCGAAATGACTATCAACAAGTTCTTGGCTGAGCGAGAAGGGCCTTTGAAAGAATGGAGTCGCATGAACGAGACGGACGAGACCACTGATCAATCGGTCAAGAGATCTGCTCATCAGCGACATTCATCCCAGCTATACCTTCTGCTTGATGTACGTCCTCTCCTGTCGTTCAGAGTCCCACTGACTTTTCAAGCTCGAATATTGCGTCGTGACAACCGCAATGGGGATCCTTGACCTGGTGCGGTTCGCTGATTCAAAAGTTGAGGACGGCACTATGAGGAAAAGGCGACTCATATCTCCTACCGGGAAACAGTGGAAGAAGTGGGCATGGGCGATCATCACCCGTGAAGACAGCAATCTGGATTACACAGCATACAGTTATCGAAGCGGCACCCCTACCGTTTATCTAGGCGATGCTCTAGGGGTGAACCGGGATCCCGAACATCTCCCACCGGTGACATGGTGGGAGAAGATGACCGACTGCTTCCGTCTGATCCCTAAGGTTTTCGGCTCAAAGGAATCCTGGTTCGGCTTTAAGGTCGCTGTGGGAACCATGATCATAGCGCTAACAGCCTTTTTGCGCAATTCGCAAGAATTCTACATCAAGCAGCGCATCATCTGGGGCGCCATCATGGTTGCCATCAGCATGACTCAAACAGCCGGATCAGGCATGTACGGACAATTCGTGAGAATTTTCGGCACTTTCCTAGCGATGGTCCTCTCCTACATTGACTGGTACATCGTGGATGGCAACACGGCGGGGGTCATTGTCTTTGTCGGCCTAACCATGTTCCTCTATCACTATCTGATGGTCACGAAACCGAATGATCCTGTCATCCCTATGATTGGGATGATTACTGTCATGTTGATCGTGGCGTACGAGCTTCAAGTCAAGCAAGTGGGCCTCGCCATTTCCGAGTCAAATGGTCAAGTTTTCCATCCCATATACGAACTGGCGCCTTATCGACTTGCCTGTGTGCTTGGTGGCGTGGGCGTCGCATGCTTGCTGACATACTTTCCGAGCGTGACCACTGCGAGAAGCGAGATGCGAAAAGATCTGGGGAATACCTTGTACTTACTCGGCCAGTACTACAGCTCCTCGCACAAGGCGGTCTCGCTGCGCCTGAAAGGGCTAGAAGGGGATGTCAAAGACAAGAAAAGCCCGCTCCGGAGGCTGGAGAAGGCTCGCACCCGACTATTCGCGAAAGAACTGATTCTCATCCAGGCAATGAAGAATCATCTCAAGTTCATCAGGTGGGAGCCTACTTTTGGAGGCAGATTCCCAAAGGAGTTGTATGAGAGGATGCTGGCGCATACCGAGAAGTAAGCCATTATTGTCCTAAGTACATTCAAGTGTCAAATGCTGACAAGACATTTAGCATCCTTCGATTCACGGCAATGATTGCATGGACAACCAAAACCTTCAAAGATGTCCCCGAAGCAGCTGGCCACGTTGAAGCTCCCAACTCTCTTGTTGCTACGGATGGGACCGGCACCTGGCTCGAGGATTTCACGCAACTCATCTCCTCCCTGGAACTGACCTCCCATAGCGTAACGTCACTCCTTGCCATCCTCTCCGGAGCCATCGGTTCCGGAAAGCCACTTCCCCCTTACCTGAGACCTCCTGAGCGATTCCACATCGGTGAGATGCTCTCCTCCCTCGACGCCAGCATATTAGACACCAAACACATCTGTGAGCCAGGGTATTCGGCCTTCGCCGTTATGCAGGTCTGCACAACCATGTTGAACGAGGACCTGGCGGATCTGTTGGCCGACACGAAGAGGTTGGTCGGTGAAGCCGAGTTTAATCTGGACATCGTGCAAGAGGACTATGAGCGGAATGTGGGAATAGTGCCGAGCGAGATCCGGGAGAAGACGGACTGAAACCGTCCCGCGCGGGAAGAGAGGAGGAGGAATTTGAAAAGTTAATCTGGCAAACCCGCTGAGTGGTGAGTTGAGTTGAACACTGAGAGGAATACCCGATGGAAAAGGTCTATCAGCCAGCAGAATCACTTCCCAGCGGTTTCAATGCTGATACTCATAAGCGATTGCCTGGTTTACTTGTGCGTGCATTGCACAGCAAGGAAGTATTTTATTTTTGGGTAAAAGCGAATAATATAGCATTTGGATAGTAAAGAAGTCGGCCCATGGTATCTATCGCGTGAAGATTTTCGATCCTAGTCACAAATTGGTGCAGGAGAGGATATCATGTGCTGTATCGTGCCTGACAAGGCTGCCAACCAGCGACGCTCGGCCCCTGCAGCCGCCACGGGCCACGGTTACCCGCCCCATTGCACCCAACCTTTGTACTACTCTGTGCACTGAGAGGAGACTCACGATGTGTGCCTTGCCAGGTAAAGAACCAATCAGCTAAATTCTGTCCGTCCTTGCATCAGGCGCAGCTTCTCCGGACGCCCGCCTATTTGGGACCGTCTATCATTCTCCCAGCCTCGTTACGAGTCTGAAATTTCCACCTTTCTTCCCTTCCTCTGATGCTGTGACATGAGGAACATCCGACGCTGGTGAAACATTTACTCATTTGGGGCATATCTGTCATGTCTCTCGTGGGTATCTCTCCGTCTGATATCGTCAATGGCGTCCATGCGGCCAAGACGATTATTGAGGCAGTGAGAGACGACAATGGCTCGGAAGAAAAAGTGCTCGCCGCATCAACAGGAATCCATCACCACCTAGAATCCATCAAAAATTTCGAGAATGCTTTGAACAGCATGCCGCAGGAGAGCTCAGCCTCCAAAACACAAGTTCAAAGCCGAGTCATGAGCCTCCGAACAATTCAGGAAGCCCAAAAATCTCGACTCGCGAAATACAAAGACCCGTTGATAAACAGAACCGGCTGCAAGGCGAAAGTCAAACGGGTCTATCGCCAGCTTGCATGGCCTTTCAGTGGTGAGAAAGACTTCGCTGATGCCACTGCGCGAGTAGCATCTGCTTCAGATGCGGTGCACTTGGACGCCGTCGTGTGAGATACCCGCACTTTTCGTGCAAAGGCTGTGCTAATTTATTCTAATCACAAGTCTCACTGCGGAGTGTATACAAGCAAAGGTTGACAAGATGGAAGACCTGGTGTTGCATAAACTCGATTCGATCACCGAGAGAATTCAAGCCGCTCAAGAGCAATCCGCTGAGTGCGCTCGACAGATCCAGGACAAGGTCTCTCTATCTCAAAACTGCCTCTCAAGTCTGATACAGAATATGCAGCATGATTTAATGAAAGATCCCCGCCAGCACCCTGGAGTGGCTGTTGTTCGCATGGAGGAACCCCCGGAGACAAGCGAGCAAACACATCTTCTGGATACATACATCAAGTCTCATGGAGCAGTACCATTGTCTAGGGAGCGTTCACAGCATTTTCCCGAAAACTTCTCAAAGCTCCCTGAACATCTCATTATGCCTCTCTTACTTGCGGTGTTAGCTTGTCTCACCACACGACAGCGGCTGGAAAGTATGCTTCGAGACTTTATCACTCTAACAAAGAATGACCCGGCGTCTGCAGCTCTGATTGCGTGTCTCCTCATAGCGTTTTCACGCATCACTTTCCGACTGTCTCTGCCCCTGTCCATACTTGGCGCTGACCATGTCATCTTCGAAGATGCTTTCGGATCATCATGGAGACTGCCCTTCACGACTTGTCAACATCAGGTGATATTTTCCAGGTTTCTTAGAAATCGCTTCGAGGGGCATCCATTCCATTTCTTTATCCTACATGGCGGTTACCATCTGAATTTGAATGATAGTCGGGGTCAGCTGGTGACGGTGCAGACTTGGAGTGAAAGTGTGAAGCCGAACACCAAGATCACAATGTCTATATTCATGGGACTGCAGAATAAGAGATGCATCCGCTGCACTGGGCCCTTGGTTTCTCACGGAAACGACCTCTTCTGGTACAGTAACTCCTCCGTCCTCTCTCAATGTAGCATCCACGATCTAACATACGCCAGTACGGCTTGCTCGCATTGGTGTACCCTGTATTCACACAAAGTCAAAGATTGCGATGTCCAGGTCCCTAGGGAAGGAGATCAGCATACATACACTACTCAAATGCCTGATGCGCGCAGTTCGTCACTGGAAAATGCTTTCAAAATCGTTCGGAATATGCACGCCTTTCTTCTAGAAGGCCAGGACATCCTGGAGCAGGAATCTGGGTTGACAGGAAGAATTGAGCCGAATAGCGTGTTTTGGCAATGTTGCAAGTGCGCCCAAGGGCCATACATGGCCAGGCTCGTGAGCAGGTGCCACATGTGTGCACACCATAGGTGTCCACTATGTCCAGTCGACGAGGATATACTGCTGGATGGGTTAGGAAATTGGTTCCAGGCTACCCCCTAATGGAAACCCGGGGGATAGTTGGCAGAAACAGGAAATTACCGCCGGTCGTTTCATAAATATATTCGATGTAGGCATTAACTAAGGCCAGCCTGTAGGATGCTGATTGATCAGGTAGGGTTCGAATTAGTCTACGAACGAAAATCGGCAGACAAGTCAGTACCAGACGCGGCGTCTTTAGTGTACAAGTATACTTCCCGTCGAGCCGTATACGAGAAGCTTGAGCGGCTCGGGCTCGGGCTCGACGGCCCGGGCCGGAACGTTGAGAAGAGAACAAAGGTTGGCGGGCTACCTACAAGGATAGTACCTCCTCGTATTCGCTAAGTGTGTTCTGTGCACTGGAGTATGTAGCTCCCCCAGCTTTCCTTCCTGCTTCTGTTCGCAAGAGCCCTTCCCCGATCTCCCATTCTACGCACCTTCGAGTGATGACCCTCCAGGCTCTGAGAAAGAGCGCCAGCCGATCCTATCAACTTTCCTCTAGATTTATCATTAGATTCCGTGACAGTCGGGATATTTGTCTCATTGCAAGATAATGGACATCATCGTGCTCTCCTACTCCTTATGTCCTGCCGTCTGAGCAGTGAGCACAGCCAGTTGGAATGCGTCTGGCGAGATCAATGGTGTGCAACTCTAGTGACCAGCTCCCTTATCGCAACCTGTTCCGGCTTTTATGGGGCCCGGGAAGGGTGGACGCTCTGCTTGCGTATCGCAATGTGTGAGGTATGAATGGAGGTCGTCCACCATCATTCAGATTCCTCGCGTATACCGCTGGTGCTTGCGTCGATGACGGACAGATTCGTGCTCAAACTCTAGGTCGTGCAGTCCACGAGGGTGTAGCCTTGACAGCGATTCTGGCGGCCATTGCACTGACCTTGGAAGTTGCACGAATCTCCGCCATTGTTCCGAACTGAGCCCGTTTTGACAGACAACAATGGTCGAGTCGCTTGATCGAGGGGATCTTGCTCTGGAGTGGAAGTTCCGTTGGTCACCTGGGGTCGAGTTCAAACAGCACCTTCGTCGGCATTGGTAGTGGTGGCGATATCGAGAGAAGCAGGGGGCTGATGGGGTGAGTCGGACTGGCGTAGGCTGTCTAGGCTCGCAAGCACCCGTGGATCTTGACCTCTATGGTCCTTCCCACAATTCCCCAGTTACCCTTCACCCCCGTGCTTTGCTGGCCCAGGGGCTAGTGAGGTTGTCCTACCTGGCTCTCTGGTTTCTGACCGATGACGGTGTACCTTGCCACGTGTAAACACAGGGGCATTCATGGCATTGTGAGGGGAGTTGCTTACACGTCGTACAGCGAATGAATCTCCTTGTTCTTCATATCTTTCCGGACTTCCACCAGGAGTGATTCCAGCTCAGGTTGAGTCCATCCGAGCACGTTCAAGAACAGTCTCAGGCTGACGGCTTGTAGGCCTTCAAAGATCTGAGTCCAATTGAACAGGCCCATCCTCTTCATTCTCTGGCCCTTGGCCCAAGGACCAATAGGTACGGGGACCTTGAAAACCTGGACGTTGGTGAAACCAGCATCTCTCACCCACTGCTCGAGATGCATGCCCACGCGCAATGTGCGTCCAACTTTCCCGGCTGCCTCCATGCAGAGCACGAGCCAGCGTCGGAAAGCATGCTTCTCCGTCAACGAGCCGTCTTGAGAATAGTAGTTGATGTCAAAATCCTGGAACTCGACCCAGCCACCCGGGTTAAGATTGTCGTAACATTGGCGCATCAACTTTGGCCAGTCCGAGATCGACCCGACCATGTATCGGCAGTGGATGTAGTCTGCCTGCTTACTGTAGGTCCACTGGTCCTCAACGTCGTCAATCTCGAACTGTACATTCGGCGGCACAAACTCGGACATGGTGGGACTGATATCGACGCCAACCACCACGGCCGACGGATAGGCCTCTGCGAATTCGATGGCCCAGGCCCCAGTGCCGGCGCCGAGGTCGAGCACACGGCCAGGCTCGGGCTTGAGCGGAGCAAGATGTAGTCGGTCCTCATTGATGATTGCAAAGAGGGCATGGGCTATATCGAGACGGTCCAGCTCGGCCTGAAAGGTCACCCGCTTGAGTATTGAGCACGAAGAACCTTGAAGGGGGGTTGGTGGTTAGCGCACCTCGTCGTTTGGCCGATGGTACGTTCCATCCTTGTAGGCATGGTATCGTCTCCCGTACTGTTCTCGATTTTGTAAGATGCTGGAACGAACTGATGCGGTTGTCTCGCCATCGTCCCTACGGAGAGGGAGCGGGAATATGTCAGGGCCCGGCCTTCCATATCAATCGCCGGATGGATTGGACACTCACAACTCGGAGATTCCTTCATCCTGATCTAAGGCAACCCGCGCGGCCTCACTACCGGACATATTGACCCCCCGTTCTGAAGGCTTATCGACGTGAAGTTTGACAGTTTGTCTGCCTACCGAGCACATCTACGAGTTCTCGGGTACTTGGGACGTGGCGCAACCGGCACGTCAAATATTCACCTGCTCGCCTCTCACTTGTATCCGCTCGCTCCCTTGGCGTGAGCAGGGATTTTTCAGGCCGAGTACCTAAGCACTCGGTACGGAACTACTCCATCTCCTCAGACACAATCTCAGCGCGTGATAGGCGAGCAACGCGCAAAAAGAAATACGACTGTGGAGTCACCCGCAGTATTAGCGGCGCGTGGGATTCAGCGCCCATTGCTTCCCGCAGGCCTCGGGCCTTTTGGTGTATCTTCGAAATGGTGAATAGGAGCCATCCACGTTGGAAGACTCGTCATATTAAGCTCTAAGCTCTACGCTATGGGGTTACGAGGCACCTTGGTGCGTACTACGGGGCATGCACGAGGACGCATTCGGACTCGCAGGGAGACAAGGTGCACGGCGGGACGATACGCTGCCGGTCTCGGTAGGCGTTGAGCCACCATTAAGCCACCCGAGATCTATTCCCGTGTCCAACAAAATCGCACAAAAGTCCCTTAGCCGGATAAACGTCCATGATGAGATGATGATATGAATATTATCGCTGCGGTGCGTGGTCGAGCTGCAAGAACCACGACTGTACTAAGTAGTGTTTGTCAGATCTTTAATCCCCCCCCTGTTTCTGCGAACAATATTGGGTAGAGCACCCACCAACCCCCAAAACAACCAGAACGGGCCAAAAAAAAGCCCAAAAAATAATGGCGTCTGGAACACCACAGCTGTTCAATGTCATTGTGATAGGTGCCGGTATGTACGCAGATACATCTCTTACATATTACACTCTAAAGATGTTCCCGTCGCTGTCCTGTTCCTCCGGGCTCAGCTAATGGTTTTCCTGAGGATCTACCGGTCTGCTCCTGGCACAGGGCCTGAAACAGGTATGTATTGGGACCGACCCCTCCCGTTTCCCTTGATACGGCGGGATACTTTTCACAACCCCCAGAGCCGACAATTGGTCTACTGTAGAATGGTATCCCGTGTACCGTGTATGAGCGAGAAGACCACACCACCTATCAGAACCGGTCGCGCGAGTGGGGCATGACCTTGCACTGGGGCGCCGAGTATCTGTCCAAGTGCATCCCTCCGGACCTGGTGGCCAGCATCAACGACAACATCTGCTGCGACCCGTTCTTCAAGGGCAAAGTCACGTCGCTGCCCATATACAATGGCGCGACCGGTGACAAGCTCTTTGAGATGGAAGGCATGGACCCAAGACGGGTATCACGGAAGAAGCTGAGGAATTTCTTGAGCCAGGGGATCGACGTGCAGGTATGTAGAGCTCTGCCAAACTTACCTCATTCATTTATTATTGGTACCCTGACGAGCACTAACCGGGTGACACAGTATGGTAAGAGGTTGGCGTCCGTCACGGTCGACACAGATGCGGGTGATTCCGTGACGGCGTTCTTCGAAGACGGGACAAGAGCATCCGGTTCTCTCCTGGTGGGCTGCGACGGAGCTCATTCGACGGTGCGCAGATTCCTGGTCGGCGAGGAGCTGGCCAAGGAGGAAATAATGGACATCCAAATGTTCAACGTCAGCTGCGCGTTCCCCAGAGAGATCGCCGAGTACTTGCGCTCGATCCACCCGATCTTCAAGCACAGCTACCACCCGGACAACTTCACCTGGTGGAACTCGATCCAGGACGTGACCGACCCGGACAAGCCCGAGACGTGGCTTTTTCAGAACCTGCTCTCGTGGCCGGGGTCCCCAAGGCCAGAAGACCTGCCCGACCAGGCGTCCCGCCTACGGTTCTGGCGCGACAGAATCTCCCGCTACGCCGAACCGTGGGCCACCATCGGCAAGCACCTGCCGGAGGACCTGGTCTTCCCGACAGACCGCACCGTCGTGTGGAAGCCCGACATGGACTGGTCGTCGTCGCCGCTCTGGCCGAGGGTGACGCTCGCGGGCGACGCCGCGCACGCGATCCCGCCGTTCCGGGGCCAGGGGCTGAACAACGCGCTGCAGGACGCGGCGAAGCTGATCGACGAGCTCAGCGCGGTCCCCGCCGGGAGCAAGACTCTGAGCGAAGCGGTCAGCGAGTACGAAAAGGAGATGAAAGAACGCGCGCTGTTGGAGATGAAGGTCTCCGTCCTCCAGGCCGAGACGGTGCATAATTGGGCCAGGCTGATGGAGGCGCCCTTCATCAAGCACGGGATGAACAAGTATAAGGAGGAAAAGCAAGAACAGGAGGAGAAGACGGAACAGGAGGCGAACTAAGAGTGATTGTGTTGGACCGTAGACGTCTTTTCTTTGCGTGATTACCATCGTGGCTTGCTCGATATATATATACCACGTACGGTTCGATCGACATAACATAGCCGTCCTTGCAGACACCCCTCTGTCCTCCTTTCCCCCCCCCTTGCACATCGATCATGAACATTTCCCAGCGGTGTCACATCAAACGCTCGCTTTCGCACCGTACAGAATCCCCTCGACGTACTCCGCAATGGCCAACGCACTAGTCAAGCCAGGCGACTCAATGCCCAAGAGATTCACAAAGCCCTTGAAGGATTCTTCTTCCTTGATGTAGAAGTCCGCGAAGCCCCGTCCGTCCTTGCCGTACGTGCCGCTCGTGCGGCCTAACTTGGGCCGGATGCCGCAGTAGTCGAGATCTATGGCCGCCGGGTCGATGGTGGGCAGGTACGTCTTGATCACGTCGATGGCGGCGGCCAGACGGGCGGGGTTTGGAGTCAAGTCGTTCGGGGAGGTGACCCATTCGACGTCTGGGCCGAATCGGATCCGGCCTGCCATGTCGAGGGTCAGATGTGTGCCCAGCCCGCCTAGTCCCGGGACGGGGGCTGGGTAGAGTAGGGTTTTTGGCCTGGGGTGTGAGGCCGAGTAGCTGAAGTAGCTCCCCTTGGCGAAGGAGGCCTGTCTGTGCCGCTCGGCGGGGAGGAGCGAGTTGGAGACCTCGACGGCGGCGAGGCCCGCGCAGTTGATAAGTGTTTCCGCCGTGATGGTGTCTCGCCCGCCCGTGCCGTCGCGGGAGCGCGTTGTGATGGCATATCCCGATCCTCCCGCGCTTTTGTCCCCATTGGAGGAGGAAAGCGGCTCGATCTTCTCCACGACGGTGTGGAGCACCTGGTCGCCGCCCCGCTCGTCAAAAGATCCCTCTAGATAGGCCATGAAGGCGTGCGAGTCGACGATGCCCGTCGTGGGGGACTCCAGCACGCCAGCCACGGCGCGCACATCGGGCTCTTGGGTCGCGATCTCCCGGCGCGGAAGAAACTGTGTGGGCACGTCGATGGACCGCGTAAACTCGTGCAGGGCCTCGAGCTCGGCGAATTGCACCGCGTCTTGGGCGATGATCCACTTCTTGGTGCGCCGGAAGGGGATGCCCTGTGCCTCGCACAGCGTGTACAGCATCTGTCGCCCGCGGATGCAGAGCTTTGTCTTCAGCGTGTCCGGCCCATAGTACAGTCCGGCGTGGATGACCTCGGAGTTGCGGCTGCTCGTCTCGGTCCCCACGGCGCCGTGTCGTTCGATCAGGATGGTTGAAGTGCCCGCCCTGGCGGCCAGCTGACGGGCAACGGCCAGTCCGACTGCTCCCGCGCCGATGACCTGCAGGGGCGGGGAAAAAAAATCTCGATCAGCGTCTGCACTGTTGGCAATGCCCCATGGCTAATACGTACAGCATGAGTAAAGTCCACGTTTAGCGCTCTGGTCGTTGAGAAAGTCCTCGTCTTAAATGCTCCGCGACAGAGGATCCTGGCCGCCGTGCGAAGAAACGGCGTCGCCATGGCTGCTGGTCTTTGATATCAAGATCGGATGACCTCTCGTGCTCTTTGATTTCTATCAGCATCGACACTGATTTTGTAGATGTCGCCGGAAAACAGCCCGAGGAATCACCTGAACACCATACGCCGACAGTGGGCAACAAGATTCGTCACACTAGCATTTCCTCAGTGTTGACATCAGCGAGTCATCAGGGCTGCTAACTCGCTCGGTGGGAGGTGACCTAGGCGTATCGATGGCACGGGCGAGCGTTGCGAGGAGCTTATCGAGCCCTGGCCCCAAGATGGTAGACAGGTATCCCGAACCGAGAATGTGTTGAATGTCACAATACACGAACTACAGAGTGGCCTGGAAAGACGGCGTCAACAACTACGAACAAGAAAAGAGCCATAGCCTAGACGATAAGCGAGATGATGCGGAATTGATATCCGAGGGCGATGCAATTGCTGAAACTTCTTCCCCCGTGTTACCTACTCTCTTCTTTCCATTTGCTGGCCGACTTCTGTATATCAAGGCCCCTGAGGCGTAGACCGAACTGGGAATAGATACAGGGCTATTCTCTCATCAATGCGTCTGGACAGAACTCACATCCGGAGTAGATACATACATCCGTCATTCAACTGCTATTAAGAAAGAATGGAGGCTATCCAAGCTCACTCGCATTCCTGGCTAACTATGTACAACCACCAACACTGTTCTTTTATGTGTAAATCGCCGTACACTCTAATTTGGGCCTAGGAACCCATTATTCAAAATCGCCGCCGTGACAGCTACGCCGAAACGCGACTCGAGACCTCGCAATGGGCACTGCAACGTGGCCGTGCCCCATGCAGCGGGTCGTCCGACACCGCCGGCTAAGTATGTACATTTCCGACGTCGATCTGGCCCGCGTAACAAAAGTCTATCGCTGAAACGCAAAATGTTCCCCACAAACAGACACTCTATGGTCGCTCGGAGAAGACCAGCTTGCAATGATCCTGCCATAAATGTAAGCAACAGGGACACTCCGTACGTAGCGATGGACTCACCTGAGGGAAAATGGTGGCGAACACCTCAATATCCTCACTGATGGGCGTGGGCTCATGCACCCAATCCAACAGGATGCTGGCTTTCCCGATCATTGCCATTAGGTTCAACTGAGCGTATGTCTGTCCGAGACAGTAATGAGGCCCGGTGCCAAAGACCAGCCAGTTCTTGACCTGCTTGTCGGCATCCCCGGTAATCCATCGCTCCGGCTCGAAACTGTCCGGGTTGGGGTATGCTTCAGGATCATGGGTTGCCGGCCAAATCGAGGGAATGATCATGGATCCCTTCTTCAAGGTGTAGCCTTCAGTCACGGGAAAATCCTTCTTCGCCACGTAAGGCACCAAAATGACTGGAGGGCGATATCGCAACGTTTCTTTGACCACCGCTCTAGTCCAAACCATCGATTCCAGCATATCCATGTCGAACGGCTTATTGCGGTCGCCGCCTCGAAGCTTCAGATTTTCCTCCCTGACCTTGTCGAGGATCTCGGGTCGATCAGCCATAATCTGAAATAGCCAAGTGCAGGCGCTGGAGGTAGCGTCTTGCGACGCAAACAGGAAAGTGAAGACGGTTTGGGCAATTTCGAAATCGGTAAAGTCTCGAAGTAATTGAGGTGGCTTCTCGGACTCGTCGACATTCTCGCCTCGCTCGACGCGCTCTCGATACTTTGCTGAATCCTGAATCTGCTTGACCCACGCATCCATGATGCAGGTGATGCTGCCGCCCGCGGCCATTCGCACCTTGGATTTGGCCGCACACTTTGCGAATTCGTCCAGCACCACGTCGGCCGCCTTCTTTCCGTACCAGGTCTTTGTGAATGGAATGATGATGGGAAAGTTGACCAGCTCCAGTGCGGCGGTAATCAAGTAATAATCGTGGGCAATCTTCTTGACCACCTTGTCGCTCATGTAATGTCCAACGAAGGTTCTGCACGACACGGCGCACATGAGCTCTCGGAACACGGGCATCCAGGGCTGGGCTTTCATATTGTTTTCCTTGGACATTTCAAGAAAGTTCTTGAAGTACTTGCTGTAGACCTCCTCTTGGCCAGGCAGATACATTTCCAACGCCTGGCGGGTGAATAGGCCGTTCAATCCCTTGCGATACTCGACGTGGGCTTTGCCGTCCAGAAAGACCCAGTTGGTGGGACGAAGGAGTTTCGGAGCGACATCGACGACGGTGGGTTTGACGAAGCCCGGGGAGTTGAAGACTTTTCGCGCCATATCTCGGGTTCCAGCAATGACAACGAATCTAGAGACCATGATTAGCACCCGTCTGCAAGTCACACGACTCAAAACACGTCCTGCGTACTTGTGAAAGACCGACACGCAGCTCAGCTCAGCGCTCTCCCATTTCTCCTTGTACTTTCTAAAGTCGGGGCGCATCGATTCGAGAAAAGGGCCCATGAAGGGCATTTTCCACGCTGGGCCGACGATGCCATGCTTCTGCCATTGGTAGCTACCTGTACAAATCGTCAATCCCCGCGCGAGTCCGGGTCCATCGTGACCAGGCGCTCACTCACATTGATCGTAGGTAGCCAATAGTAAGACAATCGTCAACAGGACGGTCCAAAGGTTAAGCTGCGCCCACACCCTGCCCAAGACGCTGGAGGCGTGGGCGGCCTGAAGCTTCAGGTCTGCGTTGGCGAGAGGAGAGGTAAAGCTGGTGGCATTTGCGAGCACATCCATGGCGTATTGGTTGGGGTTCAAGGGGCCGCGGCAACTAGGTGCTTCGAGGGACCGGTCGAATGGGGGCTCTGTGCCTTGCAGAAGGCAGCACGACGCGACGAGGACGGCAACGGTGACGACTATTCGTATAAATCCCTCCTCTTCAAACACGCGTGGATGTGTATCAAAGTCGAACGGCGGCAGCAGCAGCAACAACAACAACAACAACCGCCATCGAGAGAAGATGGATGTTGTTTGAAAACCGACAGTGTCAATCGGGAAATTCTGGGGCTCTGGATCTCTCACCGCCCAATTTGCTCTAGTCGGGCAACAGCTCCTTCCATTGGGCGGCGACGGCTTGTGCGAAGTCAATCTCGCACCGGTACATGAGCCTCCCGGATGGCGACACCATTATCTCATCACCGGTTAAACGCCGCGCAGTGGACTGATATTTGGTTCAAGTACACCAACACCGAGTATCAGAGCACCCGGTCGATCTCGTGACGTGTTCTATTCAACGGCCTACAAAACCATATGATGGAGCTGCAGAACACAAAACATTCAAGAGGAGCAAGAAAAGCAGTCCAGCACCAAACAGCTTGACCCAGACCTTACTCCGCCATTGGCGTGCCCTCAGTACTGGTACCTCCAGCCCAAAAATGCACACAAGTCATGCTTTTCTCCGTTCCTCCAAACGCCCTTCGTTGTCGTATACCCTGATTTCATGCTCTCCGTCTAAGGAATGTCGAAAACGGGTTTGAGTTTCTTCAGCAACGCCCATTCATCCCTCGTCACCTCATCTCGGTAGAATTCCTTGAGGGTGTCGATCGACTTGCGAGAAATCAGAGAGTACAGAGTATCCTTGTCTTCCAGCTGTCGTCCGTACATGGGCTGGTTGGGTCCTTCAATCTTGACGGCCACCGACGGCTGTCCTTTCTTGCAGAGCGGAATGGCCTTGTGTTCGCGTTCGATCGATGATCTGTATTCCCAAGGTTAGTTGTTTGTGTCTTGTCTAACCGGATATTGGCCACTTACACTCTGCCCAGGGTGATGACTTCTTTCACCCCCGTCACTGGATTGGTCTTGACCACCGCAATCGGTGTCAATGGACGCAGGCTGCCCTCGACCACATCCACGCCCACCACGATGGGATCCTTCTTGTTGAACACCTGGATAGGATTGAGCACGCAAGGAAAGACGGCATGCATTTTGCTCTCTTCCTTCTTCTTTTCCTGCAATTCCTTCATGTGGTTGGTAAAGTTGTCGAACAGGTGATAAATAATATCCGCCGTAAAGATCTTGATGCCATTCTCGTCCGCGTACTGCTGTGCCTCTTTGTCGACTTTGACATCGAAGCAAAGCATCACCGCGTATTCTTTCGCCTTCTCCAGCATGGTGCCCGCCATCATGACGTCTCGCTTGTACACCGGCCCGATGGCGATGTTTGCAACAGGAATTTTACTCTGCTTGAGGAATTCCAACAAAGCCTCCAAAGAGCCTAGAGTAGATGCTTGGACGCTGACACCTCGGTTGTCTTTGGATATCTTGCTGAGAAGACTTTGCAGGTCCGCCATGACGTCGTCCATCAGGTCTTCCTCGTCGTCCTCAGGTCCAACCACAAGCAATCGGGAACCAGCAATGGCTTTTTCCAGATCATTGGCTGCGATCTTCACGCCGAGCGCTGCCTTACATTCCTTGTTATGCACATATTGGGACTTGAGACGCAGCTCCTTGAGCGGAGCAGGGGTCAGAAGCGCCCGGATATTGGTCGCAATAGGCCCGTCAGTGCCACAAAGCACAATCCGGTCGCCTTCGTGAAGCACGCCATTCGACAACACCACATCAATCGTGGTACCGAGGCCTTCAATCACTTTGACTTCAAGGACGGTACATTCCACTTCGGACAGGTACATCAGACTGGAAGTCATCCGCTCCTGGGTCAATGTCACCAGGAGCTTGAGCAGATCCGGAATGCCTTCACCCGTGTGCGCCGACGTTGGCACCAGTGACACGTATCGGCGCATATCTTTATTTTCATAGAAGACCTCGGAGTTGAAGCCCTCCTTGGCAAAGGCAAGCTTGGTTTCGGCGAGTCGACTCTCAAACTCGGACACCACGCCCTTGGACTGGAAAGCGAGACTGTCCTGGAAGCCGTTGTTGTCGATTTTCTTCCAGCCATAGAGACGATCAATCTTGTTGAGAGCCACAATGAATGGTGTCTTGCGGTCTCGCAGCAGTTTCATCGACTCCAACGTCTGCGGCTCCAAACCGTGCATGATATCGACGACTAGAATGGCAATGTTGCAGAGTGAAGAACCGCGAGATCGGAGGTTGGAGAAGGATTCGTGACCAGGTGTGTCGATGACCAACAGTCCAGGCACTTTGAACTCAAACTTGCCGTCTTTGTTGACAACGGCTGTCTTCTGCTTCAGGGCGTCCACGGGGAAGTAAGTCGCACCGATCTGCTGAGTAATACCCCCTGCTTCGCCTTCTTGGACATTGGTCTGTCGAATTTTGTCTAGAAGCTTCGTTTTGCCAGTATCGACGTGGCCCAGGATACAACAAATGGGTGAACGAAGGTTATCTTTAGACCGGGCAGCCAGGGCTTCTTCGTGAGCCTTTGCTCTCCTGGCGGCTGCTTCTGCTTTCCTCTTCGCCAGTGCTCGCTGGGCGACAGTGCCTTCCTCTTCTGAAGACGACTCTTCCGATTCTGTCTCTGATTCGATATCCCTCTCTTTTGGTGGTGGTTTTGACTCCCGCAAGGGTAGGCTCGACGTTGCGGGAGGCTTGGTCACTGCTCCGTTGGTGTCGGCTTTAGTAGCCGTCTTCGAAGCGATTCCATTTGCAGCTGCTTTGGGGGGAGCCTTGGCGGCTTCTTCCTCTTCTTCCTCATTTGATTCAGCATCCCAGCTCTCCTTAATATCTTCATCAGCAGCCTTCTCCCAGTCGTCGAGCTCCGAAGACTCTTCCTGTTTGGCAGCCTCTGCCTCTGCTGCAGCAGCGGCGGCGGCAGCAGCGGCGGCCTCTTCAGCTTCCTTTGCCAGACGCTGGCGTTCTGCTTCAGCAGCTTCCGCTTCCTGTCTCGCTCTCTCTGCAGCAGCTTCGAGATCGACCTCTTCCTTCTTCGGACCTTTCCGCCTCTTGTCGACCGCAGGCTTTTTCTTTTCTTCGACGTTTTCGGTCAAACCTGCAACCTTGACGCCAGATTCAAGTAGCTGCTTGAGACGGAGATCCTGTTGCTGCTTTCTCTTCTTGTCAGCCTCGGAGAGGAGTTTGCCTTCTTTCTTGAGTTGTTCTTTCTTCTCCTTTTCTTTTTCCTTCTTTCTTTGCCTGGCCTCAGCTTTCTTTCTCTCCTCTTCCTCCTCCTTTCGTAGGCGCTCTTCTTCGGCGGCTTTTTCAGCGGCTTCTATTCTGGCCTGTTCTTCTCGCTGTCTCGCAAGAGCCTCTTGCTGCTTTTGGATAGCAGCGAGATGGGCAGGGATCTTCTTTTTCTTGCCGGATTTCTCTTCTTTCTCCGGGGCGGTGACTGGAGTTTCGGCTTTCTCAGGCACGGCGGCTTTGGCTTCCTCAACCTTGGGGGCTGGTGCCGGGGTGACAGCCTTTTTCTTCGCAGCCTGCTTTCCTGTTAGCATCTAAAATAGACTAGCTAGAGAGACTCCCTAATTACCTGTTCTTTCTTTCTCTGCTTCTCCCGTTCCTTCTTCTCCCGTTCTTTCTCCTTCTTGGACTTCATTCCACCAGCCTCGCCCGCGTCTTCGTCCTCCTCGGCGGGAGCAGCCGGCTCGCCCTTGTCCTGTTGCTTCTTGCCTCCCTTGGCTTTCTTATGAGCATTGCCAGCGAAAACATCATCATCGTCCTCGAAGGTTGCTTCCGTAGGGCCTTTGGCGTCCAGGTCGTTCTCAGGCTGCGCTGGGGTAATACCAACTGCTTCTTCGCCTTCAACGAAGTCATTGATAACCGTTTTGCCTTTTTTGGCACGCCTGTCTTTATTCTTGCGCAAAGCAGCCATCAACCCACCGCCACCGTTCATCCCCTCTGCAGCGTCATTCTCCGTTTCTGCCTTCTTTGCATCTTCGGTGGCCTGAGCAATCGGATCGGCGGTCTCACCGAGCTCGTTCTCCCAGTCGTCGGCCTGCTTCTTGCCGCCCTTCTTCTTAGGCGCCATTGAAATAATTGTGTTGAGGAGTTGGTCTTAGGGATATGAAGCGTTCGCGATTGAGAGGCGGCGACATAAAGTCGTGTGCAGGCTTTGTCAAGATTGGCGGGGAGGCACTCGGGCAAACGGTGGCGTTGAAGCGAATGATGGCTATTGGCCCAGAGGTTTGAGGTCTTTTTGTTTCTTCGCCACGATTTTTTGATGGAAGACGGCAAGTGGAAACCGGACTGAATTGTTGCGAATCCTGGGCGCAATGGACAAGGTTGACAAACAAGCTGAAGGGAATGGTGGGGCAATTAAAGGAAAAAATAAAGTGACGTTCAGTAGAGACACAGTGTGGGCGGAGTTTCGGCATCGCTGCCTAGCTTGGCGCTTGCTTCTCATGAGAGACGACAGCCTTGTCGCCGCTGAAACTCGAGCTACAGTCACGATATGCAGAGATGACTCAAGATCACAACTAAGGCGAGACGCTATTCGTGCCTCGGCTTCAAGTGACATTACTTGGGACACAGTCATGCATTCAGAGCTGCTAGATTCGTCATCCATCGTCCAATAATCAAAACATTCGTCCCCTTCCCCCGAGCACGTCGTCAACCATGTTGGAGCAGGGAGCTCCTGGGCGCCGGTTGGCCTTCGGAGAGCTCTTAGTTCGAGTCTGGCCAGCCTAAGCCCATAGGAGCCTGCATCCCTTCATTTTCTGTAGATGCTATCCATCATGATCGTGGTGGATATCTCATCAGCTTCCTTATCCAAGCAATCGCCGCCTCCACGGGCTCCTCTGTCTCCCCCAAGGTCTCCTTGACCAAAGCTTTGAAACTGTCCATCCTGTCTGACCCTTTCAGAACGTTTCGAAGGTTGTATGGACCTTGCTCGATCATCACGAGCAGTCGGTCTCCCTGGACATGCATATCCTTGGGCCTGAAAGCCGGTGGCATCCAGAGATACCTCGTGTTGTCCGCGGCTTTCTTCTTGATGGGCACAGCCTTGATCGGTTTCCTGATCATGTAACTCATCTCTTCTATGAAGTGAAGTAGTTTCCACTCGCTATGCTTCAGAAGCGCAAAGTGGAAAAGTGTTCCATCGATGGTGCAGCCGTAGAAGCGAGTTCGGTCAGTCTTTCGAGGGCCCTGTGATGTATCCAATCGAAAGCGGTGGATGTGGCCCGGAACCGTCGCGTGAAAGACAGGAGCCGTTTCTGTGGTTTCCTTGTTCAACCCTGAGAAGCCGATGATATTCGTAACTCCTACATCGGCAGAGGCGAACACGGCAGTAGAGGCATCCAAGGCGACAATATCTTTTGCATATCTCATTTTGGTGTCGCACTCGCGATGGTGCAATTTGTTATCCTTCTCCACGAGAACGAATAAGGAGTGTTGCTGTGTGGCCACGCAGATGAGCGACCCCTGACATGAGATGGCATTCGCATATGACGGGAGAGCGTGCCTTGCCAACGTCTTCCATCTGCGTGTAGCCCAGTCCAGATGATGTAAGACGATTTCTTTGCCGGCAGCAATCAAGAGAGAGGACATCTTATAGGCACAAATGGCTGTGATAGGCTCTCGGCTGCTGAATGCGAGTTTGGGGCTCGCATCTGGCTTGCCCTTGCCCAAGCTCTTGGCATTGACACAAACAACTCGACCAGGCCCTCGCAACCCCGGAGTAGGGTTCAATTGCTCTAAAGCAAGTACCAACCATTCGTAGTGATTGTTCCCGTCTGTCGGCGCCCAATCAATGAGATCGTGGACAACATCACTGTCATCTCCAGTCACGATGGTTGCAAAGGTGGTACCCTCGGAATCCCTCGATGTGGGATACCGCAGATTAGGAGTGATGAGCTGTAGCCCAACTCTCTGAATCTTGGTTGACGGGTGGTCGGAAATGTCCTTCTCACCATCGAGAGGTACACTGGTGTGCGTCCTGACTGAAACCCCCGTAGGATCGCCTTCTCTGGAGAATGCAACCACAAACCTCTGGAGGAACCGCGAGTAGAGCATGCGTCTAGGGACGCCATTGAGATTCAACTGTCTTGCAATCCCGTGTTCCTGGGAAATCACAGAACAGAACAGCAAGTCCTCTGCGACAGCACAAATCAGGAAGCCCCCAGGGTGTTCGTGTCCTGACTCGAGCTTAGGGATTCGGTGGACTGCATTGATTAGAGGCTGGGCTGAGGGCTGGTCACGAAGTTAGAATAGCCTGAATACAGATGAAACCAGACTTACTTTGGTTCGATCCGTCACCCACAGAGGAGACATTGTGTAGTCGACCAAAGCAGAGTTGGGATGGAGCGTGACGCGGTGAAGCGTGTATTCGCAAAGCACAAGCGCAGATGGGTTCTCTAGGCTCCCAGATTGATTTTTCTCCTGCACAATCTGTACAGGAGTTGCTCCGATGCGGTAGACGTCATCGCACTTTAGGACTGTCGGGATGTCAGGATTGAAAACGTCTACCAGATATTTCCATCTCGTACCTGTTTTCAAAATGTCTTCACAGTCATCCCTGAGTTCCAAGCACATCACAGTGCCCGAACGGAGACCACATAAAAGAAGAGTTGGGCCGACTGTGTTCTGCTTTAGCGCAACCATGGAAGCCACTGCAGCATTCTCGACTTTGGTGTTGAGGTCTTGGACTCGAAATTCGAAGGCAAGCTTTAGTGTATCAGTATATCCCAAGACCTCTCCAGTTGATGTACCGATCAGAACCAGCTGCGTGTTCTGTACCTGAACGCAACATATTGCATTGGGGATATGCCTCAGTCTCAGAGGCTGACCGGGCACGAAACGAAGTCCCCCGTCGTCTGAAGTCTCGATGTCAATCAGACAGAGCTCGTAGCCCGAAGTGACACGGCTAGTGGCAGCAATGACCCGATCACCTTCAAAAAAGGCCGCATGCGCAATACGTGATCCGAGGTGGTTCAACTCGCCAACTTCACCATCGGCCTCAATAAGAATGGCATGCACACCACGGGTAGTGACTTGTATCACGGTGTCTTGATCGATAACGGTTGCAGCAAGCGTGGGATGGCCGAAATCGAATCCGGGGTGGCTTTCAGTATCAGTCAGTGAGATCTCTTGGTTTTCTAGCTCAAACACAACCATTGACGAGTTCGTTGTGTGAGAGGCCAGCAGCAGCAGTTCGTTGGTGCCGGGTATCTCCAGGCTGAACAGACGCTCAACCAAAGCGGCCTCTGGGAACGACATTTCCCAACCGATCTGGGCTTCCAAGCCGTAACGAATCTCTGACACTTGGCCATGCCTATCACATCGACCTGAACAGGCGTAGAGCCTGCCTGGCGTGCCCTGCCACATGGCAGAGTCTTGGGAATCAACTGCTATTGGAGGTCCAAGGGCGATATCGTTCAGCGGGGCGAGCGTCTCGATACGCTGAATGCGCTCTGGCGACCCTCGGGCAGATACATGGAAGACGCCTCCGTCAGTCAAACTGCCACCCACTATGATGATATCACCGCCTGTCCTTGGAGGGCCGGACAGCATGCAGAATGCTGTATCAACACTGAAACCGAGATGTCCAATCGTGTTGTTGGTGCTAAACTTTGTGCTGGATGCTTTGTCAATTAGAAAGTTCTTCAGAAGTCCATCCTCTCGAAGGATGACTATATCATCGCACCGCTCGAGGTACTGGTTGTGGCGTCTAGGTCTTACCCATTGAACCCATTCCAGACTTGTGTTCGTGTTGTCCATGCATCGACAGTAGACTCGCTTCATTTGAGAAGACTGAATATTCTCATAGTAGCTGATGCCAGCCGCCATGACCACAATGTATGAAAAAGGCCGCGTTGACGGGATCAGCATCAAGGGCAGTTGGTCTTCTCTCAATTTGCGTCCACTGCAGGTCATTGCTTGGATTGTCTGGAGTGGTTGGCGAGTATCCCATCTGTAGAGGTATTGATGTGTTCCCTGATCCACTTCTCCGGAGTAAACCAACAGGAGCAAGATGACCTTGGTAGGATCGTCCTCGGGGCTGCGTAAGAATGTCATCATCAAAATCTTACCAGCGATTTGGATAAAACGTTGCTGTAATGGTTAGATCTGGCACGCATTGACAAGGACAAGGTCACATACCTCTTCTGAGGGACGGAAAGAAGCGGGATCCATTGGATCCCAGGCGTCAATTTCCGACTTGATCTCGTCCACGTGATGAAGTTTGAAGACTCCAAAGTAGCCGGATGGTGAAGCAACGGCAAGGGCGCGGGATCTGAGATATCGATTAGACGCCAGCACGTAATATGGGGCTTGGGCAGGTATACTCGGGATCGACCGCGATATCTCGACACTCCCTTGAGGGGAGGTCGACTCCGCCCAAGAAGGGCCTTTTTGCGAAGACGAGTCTGACCTCTCCACCGGCGTCCTTTCTCGCATAGACGTAGATTAACTCATTGTCTTTTGTGATGAGGACAAGGATCTGTGGCGGCTGCGTGTCACTGACTGGTTGGCCGCGAATGCTGAACTGCTCCTGGTCCCGCTCTTGCTTCAATATGGCATCGACAATTGGAACAGACTTCAACTCTGCCGAGATGATTTTGGCATCAGTGATTGTGGTACCAAAATCGAGCTTCGCGGTCACGACCACCAGCTGCCCGCTGTCTTTGAACTCGTGAAGCTGGACGAATGTTGGTCCAACAAAGACGACGTCGTTATTGGAAGGAGAACGAATGCGTGCAGGGAGGATCCATCTGATGCTGGAGCTTGAGCTGAGAGTCCTAGACAAGATGCCGACACGCTCCTGGATAGTTAGTCGGCGCTGGTCCCCTTTGGTGGTCAGTTCCCTCCCCTGAGGACGGGCCCTGTAGGCCATCGTGAACCAGACGTGGCGGCTGACCTGAGTAAGAGCACACAAGGAAGCAAGAGTTTGAAGACAATAACAAAGCAGAGGATTGTGGTGATGATGCTATGAGACGACTCCTTGGATTGGATGTGTTACTAGAAGACGATGTTGAAGAAATAAGACGAGGGGAAAACAAGGGCGGCGCAGACAAGGTCGATATACTCCGT